CCCCCCCCCCCCCCCGCTCTCTCCTGTAGGACAGAGGCCACCCTCCCCACGCACCGGCCCAGGCCTTCCGTACGGCCCCGCCGCCTCCCCAGGCCGCCTTCCCGCACAGCGTGCTGCTCCCGCCCCAGCTCCTCACCTGTATAGCTCTGCCCGCGCGGGGCCCTGACCGGCCTGCCCTTCCTGTGCCCTGACCAGACGGCCCTGCCGACACCGCTCAGGTGTCACTGCCATCGGAAAGTCTTCTCCGGCCCCCACCGCGCTCCCATAACCCCCGGAGCCTGTTTTTATCACGGCACTTACATCAGAGTTTACAGTCACCTATTCGTGTGTCTGTCTCCCCCGCAGCGAGCTCCCGGGACAGGAAGTGGACTCTCTGGACCTCTGAGTCCCCAGACCTGGGTCAGTGTGTCGAATGAAGGTTGAGTGAAATCTCTTGCCTCATAGGAAGAATATCAGGCATTTGCATTGCCTATTGTGTGTTCTTTCATCTACCCTGTAAATTATTTTGGAAAGTTTGAAATGCCGTCTTACATTTGTTTTTATCCAGAATAAAAAGAAGCTAGGAATTTTATAATTTAAAAAAGTCCTCTATTTAACTTTTTCGTTATTTTTATACATCCACTAAGTTCTAAAAGTTATTTGAGGCAAGTTATAATAGAAGAAAAAATACCAAACCATGAAGCCACACCGCCGCCAGCAACAGACTGGTGCTCCCGCCCTGTTTCCCTGGACCGGGTCACACGGCCCTGTCACTTAGAGGTTGGGAAGGCAGGGGGTACCGTGGGTTCTGCTCCACAGCTGTTCAGGGAGAGGCTGCTGGAAATGCCTTTGTGAACAACCGAGAATGTCTGCCACTGAATGTAAATAGCATTGAAGAGTATTGGTTAGATTCCTTCCCAGGAGCCCTGTGTCACTAGCAGATAAGGTTTCCTCTCTTCAAGTTGTCAGGCCCTCCGAGCCCTTCTTAGGAAAGATCACCCTGAGGTCCTCCCCGCACCTACCCGACAGCAAGGCCTGGGAGCGCTGGTGCGCCGTTCAGAGCCCCTTTGGTTACCAGAAACGGGAACCCCCCACTCAGCAGAAACGAAGCGGGTCACCGCCTGCCCTGGCCAGGCGGGGCCATGGGAGGTGCACGGGCGGGAGCGGGCTGCAGGGCCTGCGGCTTTGAAAGCTTCTCGCTGCCCATCTCTCATCTCCACGTCTCCCTGGTGGCTTCCGTGAAACCTTGAAGCTGAAAAGGAGCATGTGCTCTTCCCACCAGGTCCAGTCAGAAAACGCCCAGGAAAGGACTCTGATGGGTCCGACTGCAGTCTGGTCCTTTCCTGAACTAGTCCCCACAGCCAGGGACGGGTGCCCACCCTGTGTGTGGTGAGGCGCTAAGATTGCTCACCCCACCGGAGTCACGGGCTGGGATGGGTGAGGAGCACACCCCCGGGAACGATGGCCCTGTCCCCACGAGAGCGGGGAGAGGGACCCAGCACCAAGCAGGCAGCCGCCGTCCACCCCGCTGGCCCCGGTTCAGGCTGGGACGGCCCCACCTGCCGAAGCTGTCACAGAAGCGGGACACCGCCTGCTGCAGACTGGAACGGTTTGTGGCTAAGTGGGGGCTCTGTCCTCAGGGCTCCCCTCCCGCAGCGATCCCTCACCCCTCCGCCCAGGCCACGCTCTGCCTGGGGCCCGTTCACACCCCCACACGGTCTCCTTGGGGCCCCAACAAACAGCTCTTGTGCCCAGTGCGCATCCAGCCTTCCCGCCACCGTGTCCTGGGGCCACTGCTGTGCCAGGAGGCAGCCCTTGCCCAGGATTCCACCCCTTCCCCGCCGCAATCTCAGCTCCGTTTCCCGGTCCGGGGGGCTTTCCACTCCTGCCGGGAGCACCCCACCTTGTTATACTGGCTTGCCCGTCACAGTGAGAAGCGTCAGCCCCTCCTGAGAGGCTCTATGTCACGGTGCTGCTGCTGAGACCAAACTGAGGGCTGCATGTTAACAGTTGAGAACCCACTGGCCCTTAGCGCTTACTGTGTACCGGGCACTGGCCACGCCTCATTGGATTTCATCCCCAAAACACTCGCAGGAAGTAGGTATAATTATCCCCATTTGACTGATGAGAAACTCTCAGGAGGCAAGTGTGTGCCAGCCGGAACATGGACGGGTGTGTTGATCCCGAGGCCCCTCCGTACAGAGCGGAGTGTGATCTCCGGGGACTGACGCACGGAGGCATGGCTCACGGAAGCCTGCAACGCACACGGCTGTCCCACCTGCGCGGGACTCCCCCCGCCCCGTGCACACGCGCCCTGGGCATCGTCGGCTGCGCCCTCATGTGATTCCAAGAGCAAAGAGCCTTGGGTTTCAGACAACTTGGCTCCTATTATCAAGTTCCCCACACACACACCCCCACCCTCGCCCCATCCAGTGCTCACAGAAGCACCGACACCTTTTCCGGGCGGCGGAAAATCGATTGCATCCGGCCACAAGGAGGCGGCCTGTATGGTCCTGAGGGACTTTCAAGAGGGATTTTCCAGAGCCACCAGCTTGAGAACCTGGCCAGAACCTTACGCTCTCCGTGTGGCTCGCCTGCATCATCAGAACAGCTGCAATGGAGCCTGGGGAAATAGACACGTTCCGGCTTTGGCTGCTGACCTTCTAGCAAGAGCGCCCCACGGCAGAAGTGCCACCTTCTTCAATCACTTGGGAGGGGGGCGTGTACCGAACGACATCCGTGAAGTCACCCGCCCCTTTATCTCTGACACTGCCTTTCAGACTCGTGCTTGGGTTCCCACCGTCGGCTCTCCAAGTAGGAAGATAAGGTGCTGTGTACTTCAGTCCATTTGATGGTTCCCAGGAAAGTGTAAGGAAGCCAGGGTGTGCCCTGCTGGGTCAGGTCCACGTTCAGCCAGTGACCCCCACAGGGTCGGGCACACAGCAGGTGCTCAGTACAGGTGTTAGATCTGTTTCTGCCTAATTGGGGGGGGCTCCCACAAAGCTGCTCTCGCCCCCTTCCCTCCAGCCAGTGTTGCTTGCTCTCCCGCCAGCTGGCGTCTGCGTGACTTGGTGGCCACGATCCCAAGCAGGCTTCCAGCGGTTCTGGCTTGAACACTTTCCTGACTGACGCCTGGAGAAATCCCGGCACCACCATCACCAGGGTCAGTCTTTACCAGCAGGTTGTCCCGCCGCTCTGTTGGGTTTGTGTTGCCATCAGGGCCCTTGTTCACTGGTGCCCAGAGAAAGGCTGACTCTTCCCTGGGCGTTGGGCATGTGTGTCGGGATCCACCGCTCGGCTCCCTGTGGTCGGTTCCTCCGGGTCCCCGTGCACCACTTGCTGTGTCCTCAGGCTGGAGCTAGGGCAGAGAGAGAGAGTTCTACGAGATGAGTCACTCCTGCTGTTTACATGGTTTATGTTGTTAATGGGGCAGGGACCAAGGCTTGAAATTAACTATTCTAAATATTTCCACCTAAGGGCGCCTGGGTGGCTCAGTCGGTTGAGCATGCAAGTCTTGATTTCTGCACAGGTCATGATTCCAGGGTCGTGTGATTGAGCCCTGTGTCAGCTGCATGCTAAGCATGGAGCCTTCTTAAGATATCTCTCTCTCTCTCTCTCTCTCAGCATCTGGGTGGCTCAGTCAGTTAAGCATCCAACTCTTTTTTAATGTTTGTTTACTTTTGAGAGAGATGGGAGCAGAGGACTGAGGTGGGCTCTATGCTGACAGCACAGAGCCCGATGGGGCTCCAATTCACAAACCGAACCGTAAGATCATGACCTGAGCCAAAGCCAAACACTCAACCTACTGAGCCACCCAGGCGCCCCTAAGCGTCCAGCTCTTGATTTCAGCTCAAGTCATGATCTCACAGTTCATGAATTGGAGCCCCACGTCGGGCTCTGGGCTGACAGCTCAGAGCCTGTTCAGGATTCTCTCTCTCC